ACGTCAAGTGGTTGTGCCGAAACTGTTGAGGACTCGTGTTATGGAGATTGCCCATGATTCAATATTTGGTGGACACATGGGGATAAAGAAGACAGAAGACCGGATTGTGACTAGCTTTTATTAGCCTGGGCTACATCAAGATGTTACCAGTTTTTGTAGGTCGTGTGATGTGTGCCAGAAGACTGTTTCAAAGGGATCAGTTGTGAAGGCCCCATTAGGTAAGATGCCTTTAATTGATATGCCATTCAAGCGTGTGGCTATAGATTTGGTTGGACCAATTACACCAACCAGTGACGGGGGTCATCGATACATCTTAACTATGGTGGACTATGCTACACGGTATCCAGAGGCCGTACCACTTAAAAATATAGATACGGAGACTGTAGCCGAGGCGTTGATTGACTTTTATAGCCGATTATCAAGATTGCTCAGCATTAAGAAACTGACGTCTACGCCCTATCACCCCATCTGTAATGGACTGGTGGAAAAGTTTAATGGTACTTTGAAGAAGATGTTAAAGCGGTTGTGCCATGAACAACCAAGGCAATGGCATCGCGATCGGTATATTAGTGCTTTACTCTTTGCGTATAGAGAGGTACCACAGGAGTCAACTGGTTTTTCCCCATTTGAGCTGTTATATGGTCGAACTGTTAGAGGCCCAATGAAGATTCTTAAAGAGTTATGGACCGAAGGGAGCGATTCTCCTGAGATAGTTAATAGTTACCAGTATGTGTTTGAGTTGAGAGATCGATTAGAACAGACTTTAGAGATTGCTCGAGAGGAATTACAAAAGGCACAGAACCGATACAAGTGTTACTATGATCGTAAAACGAAGAAACAAGAGCTTAAGGAAGGAGATAAGGTGTTAATTTTGCTGCCAACTGACAACAACAAGCTATTGATGCAGTGGAAGAGTCCTTATGTGGTGGAGCAGGTAATAGGCGAAAACGATTATCGATTGAGGGTAAGTGACAAAGTGAAAACGTATCATGTAAATTTGTTAAAGTTGTATGTTGAGCGGGAGACGTCACCTCCCTGACTACCTGAACTTTTGAACAGTATAGTAGAATGTTATTCGTTTATGACTGTATTTCATATTTTATTATATTCTACTGTATGTGATTTTCGAATTTTTGTACTCAGAGCTTTATTCAGTTCGATTTGATATATTGTATTGTTGTTTTATTTGAAATTGTTATCGTATTCGTATCATTGACGTCGTTGCTAGTCATGTAATATTATATGTTATAATATTCTTGAGAGGGGAGGCATGTCGCATACGACTTGTTTACCACTTCCATGTGACTGAGAATGTTCTAGAACCGTACTGTGTCTGGGTGGAATTTTTAGAAGTTGGTTGAATAGGTAATAGGACACTGTAGGAAGCAATAGAAGGTAATGGAACATTCTAGAAATTTGTAGTAAGTTCCAGACTCATTATATATGCTGATGTAATGGTTTATTTATAGACAGTATGTATAGGGGAGTTGTTCAGCACTGAGATCAGATCGGAGATCTCGTTGTATTGTATTGGAGTTTAGGTATCTAGTTATTGGAGTAGTGGAGTTTTACCGCGTTTTGGTATTTGAACCATCACACCTGTACTATACCAATTACGGTAATATTACGTTGCGTGTGACACAGTACCATAGCCTCCCACCCCGGTGACATTGTAAAAAGAACATTTAAAAATGACACATGCTGGTAGTTTTACTATATGTATATGCTTGATGTGGCTTAAATAACCATTTAATATTTAACCTTGGCAAAATACACAGGAACATTTTGTATTTCTGTATTACTATGTTTTGTATTCCAACTTCTGTTATTAATGAACAAATTATTATAGACTACTATCAAGAAATTGGAGGGTCACGAGAACTAAATGGTGGTAATATACCAATTTTAAATCATACAAAATATGTATATACATTAGTATAGTAATGGCATTTGATATGTTGGTCATATATTGTTGAATTGTCCGTGAATTATCCGTGCAATGGTTTGAAATACAGTCATGAACACTAATGAGGTCACATATATATGGTCATGTGATAAGGTAGTCATATCTCTTTACTGTAGTACTGGTTGATTTTTGCTTCTTCAACCGGGTTTGACATTAGTTATGCATATTATTGAAATCACACGAACCAAATTATGTAATTACTATACTGACCCAACCACACTAGCAAGAATTATACCATGATTGGAATGCAATTTTTATACAGTGTTTGATTGTTTAACGACACGGAGCAGAATCGGGCCTATGTACCATAAAGCAATCGAGAACTAGAACTATTTTTTGTGGCTGTGCCGTGAACGACGCCGATTTTCTTTTGTGCCAACGAGGGTCTGGTGAATTTGATTAACAACTTGTTTTTGTGGTCCATTCTCAGGAATAACTTTCTTGTACGTTCACATATACTAAAACCTGAAGTCAGTCTAGATATATCATCACGGATTTTCATTTCAGGAATATTCTCTCAGAGCGCAGATGCACTCGTTCGAACGATTTTTTTCAAGCACTAAACAATAAGCCAGTTTACCAAGCCATATCAGCAGATATTATACTATGATTGGAGCGCAAATTTTACTCATTATTTTAAAGCGAGGTAGAAAAGACTCACAATTTCGAAAACGCGATTGGAATATGTAAATAGTAAAATGCTACTGGATCTGAAGTCTGTGATGCCAGTGTTAGATAGTTGCCGCAAGTACTAGCGGTAATGATCGGTTACTAACATATTCCCCAAATTATTGTAAAATGTGTAAAAGGTGAGCGCTAAATTGTAGCTGCTGTGAGTGTTGAAATCTATCATTTTGAGGGGTCAATAAATTAGCTGAGAATGGTGCTGACACCATTATTTGGGTAAATCTGTTATTATATCGAGAGAAACATTTCCCATCAGTGTCAGCTCAAATGTAAGGTGATCCTGCACACTGATCTCTGGGTGTGGTCCGTACCCGCTAAGTATCATCAAAAACTAAACCTCTCTTTAGAAGATCTGCTTTATATGTTGGATTAAATTAAGCTTCATCGTGATAGTATTTGTGTGTGTTTTTGATTCATCATTTCTCAGTGACAAGACACTGCACTTGTATAAACAGGCATAATGTTTTGTGTTCCAAGCATACTTAACTAGTACTATAAATCAGTAATCTTAGACTGTATAGACGCCGTACCCGTCGATCAGAACATCAAAGATACTATGATACGTAATTTCGTCAATGCGGGTCTATATGTTAGCTCGTCGCTGACATTTTCATATATAGTGACTATGATTTGCATCTTAAAGGGCGGCAATCGTCATGCCGCGTCCTGATCGATACGGGACTCATAGCGACGTATACAACGCGTGTAAAATACATTGTTTATTTACATAAAATTCGAACACGCGCAGTGCGACGACCACCGCGCTTTAAATTTTCAAGGTATGCTTCAGCTTACTGACACAAAACTGTGTGCGCGGATGATGAATAATGTTGCAACGGAACTATTCTATCAGATTCATGTTTAGAATGCATATATTGTTGGTTTTGAATCTATTTTTAATATAGTGGCTTTCATGAAACGTATTATTTGTCATTCGGAATCAGTGATAATATTATCCGTTCGACTTTTAGCTCCCGAATTAGATACATGTAGTAGCTTGAAAGACAAATCTGTCTTCTTTACAAATAACTAGGAAAGCAGAAATTAGAAAGAAGGAAGACATATTAACATATATGATGTTCACATTCATTGAGTGAGTAACGATTTTCTTGAGTTCCGAGCGGGCTCAACACATTCAATGTATGTTATACCATGCATGGAAGCACAGTCAGCT